GGGGGGGGGGGGGGGGCTATAGCCCTCACAACTTTTTCATTCCGAAAATAAAAATTAAGAAATCAACGTAAATTATACTCCTATTGAATCGTTTTTTTTTGTTTTTTTTTTGTTTTGTTTTTGTCTTAAATACGCTAAAATACTTAGATCGCTCTTTTATGTTAGTTGCACCACCGCTAAAAAAAACGCTCCGACGTCCTTGATTAATCATTCTCGTACCCAGGCATTTCTCATTTTCCCAACGGGAAATTGAAGCCTCTGGCTAAGGACGTTACTGGAAGACCCAGAATCTGGATCGTATATGATATGATGCATGGGATTTTTTGAACCAATCAAATCAAACAATCTTTCTTTTGTATCCTGTGACGCGCGGGTCACGGGATCGTGACGTATCCCAGAGGTAATCCACAAATACAAAGTGCGCACACCGAGATAAAAATATTGCGCGCTCTCGTTCTTTTCTTCTCTCAAGCAATGGTTGGGCAGTCTGTGGACATGTATGGACGCTGTTGCAAGGTGCACCTAATCAAAATAGAACTAAAATCGAAACTAGAATCAAAATAGAACTTTTCTGTGCAGGCCCGTAGGCTGGCTGGGTTCGTTTGTATTCCAGCATACGGGCTGTCTTTTATGAAATTTAAGTTCTGCATTTAAAAAAACGAATACATGTAGATTCAATTTGTTTTGTCTATAAAAACCTATGAAAAGCGATAATCGATGAATTCAAAACCATTTAACTTTCCGCATAAGGGACTGTGAAATAATTACCAGGAGGGGGGACCGTAAAACCAGATTTCTTAAGCAGAAAATTAGTTTAAACCCCCCTCCGAAGCACAAGAAAATAGCTCTTCCCCCCCCTCCTCCCCCCAACTATTAACCTTGTTATAAAACAAGCACAAGCGAGTCGAGTCAACTGTAGCAACCCAAAATTCACTAAATACGAACCCAGATGCAAGAGGTGGCTTACTCTTCTGGATCTAAGTGTAAAGACAAAAACTTTCAGGAGGAGCTGACAAGCAAATGTGGTGCCCTTGCTTCTTTCAAATAATTTTGTTCCTGGCAAAGGTTTTCAAGGTCCAAAAAAGGCTTATGTAACGTTTTTATGGTCAAAAGCGACTTTGATATTACTTGTCAAGTGTTATGTCTAATAAATCATCAAGATGTTTTTCAGCTTCTACATCTTCAATTTATGTGAAACCTACATCCTCAATCTATGTGACAAAATTGAAAAAATCAATAGTTGAAAAAAAATCATATCTTGGTCAATTTCAATCACACATCAACGCGTCTTTGAATTTGGATTTCCATTAGTCAGGCGCGTAGCGTCGACTTACTTTTATGCATATGACAGGGACCGCGACATATATTTTGGATCTGGGAACTAACGAACGTCAAAGGCGGAAGTATTAAGTCTGGTCCTCCCCCCAGAAAATTTTGAAAAATTCTCTCAAAATTTGACAGAAATAACTCTTGGAAATGCAATTTCCAGCATTTTGAGAGACATAGAAAATTATGAAAATTTTGAATAAAACTTAAGCCCCCCCCCTCTGACCCTCTGTTGATTAGGTAATTTTACTTCGAGCCCTCCCTATCTTGGCATCAATTTTATGTAATACCATGATCACCTCGGATTCTTTTGTCTTCCGAGGGATTTTTACAAGCGAACATCCCTCCCTCATGAATGGCATGAGGGACGATTACTAGTAATCGTCCCTCATGCATAATAACATGAGGGACGATTAGACTAATCGTCCCTCATGTTATTCATGAGGAACGGAAGGCAAAGGAAACCTTTGCTTCCCAGCAGGGACAACTGAATGTCCCTACAGCTGTCTTCTTTTTACTTCTGCAATAAACAGTCTGGTTATCGTCTCATTCACACTGAAATGTGGGATGATTTTTGGGACAAATTGACCGAGTAGCTCTGGTTCCGAGTATCTACTTCGTACCGCTGAGCATGTGCACTTGACGAATTTCAATGTTTGATAATAGTTGATAAGCTTCTTGGCATTATACTTGCAAATATAAAAACAACTTTTCGCGGTTGAAGTTAAGGTTCGTTAACTTCAGCATTGAATAGAACTGAAAAGCAATTTCAAACAAAGTTCGTTGTGGGAAATCAGTAACAATGGTCGGATTATCAATATCATTTTGTACTGTTGTTCGGCGAGTGATACTCTTAGAACAGTGCGTATCCTTTCTTTTCATGTCATATTCCAATTCATGCATGAATTGAAAACATTGGAGCATACAAAAAAACAAGAATTCAAATTCGCTCAAGTTCAACTTCAATTTTTTCCTCGGAAATCATGGTATTACAAAGTAATAGCATGGCTTCCTCGGGAGATTAGGGATTAAATGTCCCTCAGCCTCGGGCAGATAAGTAAAAGTCCCTCCGGCCTGCGGCCGTCGGGACTTCAACTTATCTGCCCTCGGCTTCGGGGACATTTAATCCCTAATCTCCCTCAGAGCCATGCTATTACTTATAATAATGCCCCCCCCCCTCCTGGTAATTATTGCACAGTCCCTAATAAGGCATATTTACCGTGTTTACCGTATTTTTTTTTGCATCGCATCGGATGCCCTGACTAGTTAGAAGAGAGAGAAATGGAAATCAGGATTCGTTCTCAATCAACATAATTATTGGCCATATTGGAATAAAAAAATCGACATAAGCAACCAACTCAAGTCCATTCCAGGTACACCAGAAGCGGACGATTTACGATAAGGAACCGGACAATCTCCCAGTGATCCGTCATCGCTCTTGTCTTCAGGAGAATTACCTAAATGTAAAAACTGGTTGGTCAGAGAAAGGAATCATAAAAGTTATCAGTAATGAGCACCATCAGGGTCCTATCAGTCAAATACTAATACAGTGTAGAATATTAACATTTAGATATTCACTGAGCTGACGTGAGTTTTGTACAATTCTTGGGTTTAGTCTGTGACAGGAAATCCCTTCACCTCCCCTGACGTCATACTGTTCAAAACTGTGCAGCCCATCTCTTAGCCTTAAATACTTACCGTTCTCGTCAACATCTTCATATTCATAGCCAAAATCGACAGATTTTCTGAACATTTCCTGATGAGTGTACACCGGAAACAATGGTACAATGACATCATGTTTGTTGTGACCAATGGGCGCGTTGAATTTGGAAAGAACCGAAGCATCCTTTTTAAACTTTCGAAGCCACTTTTCATAAATGCGATCCACGAATGAATGATGAAGGGGAAAGATAGGATCGTTCGAAGCAGAAGGCACATCTCCCATGATTCCACCAGTAACTGTAAATATATAATGAGAACTATAATGGTAACTAAAAACATCAATCTATACATAGCAATATGCGTGTCCTTCGTCCTTTGTAGCCGTGTTTAGGATGGGCGGCGCGACCCCTAAAAGACACCAGTCTCTTACAATAAAGAGCGTGGCAACACAATATTTTTAACCCTAAAAGATTACAACTAAATGAGTAAGCTTGAGTAAGCTGACTGAAGTTGTTATCTTTATACGTATTTTGCTGCTTAGGGACTGTGCAATAATTACCATGTCTATACTAGAAATAACGTCGGAATTTGTTCCTGGAAAAGGTTTCCAAGGTCCAAAAAAGGTTTATGTAACATTTTTATGGTCAAAAACGACTTTGATGTTACTTTTGCTTGTTATGTCTAGGAAATCATCAAGATGTTTTTCAGTTTCTCCATCTTCAATTTATGTGATAAAATTGAAAAAAATCAATAATTGAAAAAAATTCATATCTTGGTCAATTTCAATCCCACATTAGTACGTTTAGTTTCATAATGGATTTTTCATAAAAAAGATAACCTAACAAGCTTTAGCTAGCAGATTAAAAATGATCAGTGTTGTTGATAAAGCTTTTGAAAACTGAAAAAGTAATATCAATATCATATTAATTGTCAGTTAAAGTTGTTTTTGTCATTTTTTACAATTATGGTTTGTTATTTACGTTGAATTTAAGATAAAGAAAATAATGAAACTTTTGAAATAAACCGCTGTTAATTAGGTAATTTTACTTTGAGCCCCCCTATCTTGGCATCAATTTTATGTAATGCCCTTACCCATCTGGTTTTGCGCCCCCCCCCCCCCCTCCCCCCACTCCTGGTAATTATCCTGGTAATTATTGCACAGTCCCTTATCTTAAAAGGACACCTTAACAGATACCAGATTATCCGATGGTGGTCAAAAAATCTTTGAGACACCCTAGAAGATACCAGATTACTGATTTTTTACCCCTAAAAGATACCACGATCATCCCCACCATAAACATTGGGAGTATTTTTGTATTTTTAAGACATCGTCATCCTGAGAATTTCATCAATACAATGATGCAATTTGCCATAATTCACACATGGCGTCATTATGCAAGAAACATTGTTGCTCTCAATTTCCTGTATGTTAGAAATTATAATGACATTCAGTAAAACACTAAAGCATACCTATATGCACTTGGTTATGCAGCGTATGTACATTTGGCAAGCGGTAGCCTGTTTTGGTGCTGACGTAGCCCTCCAGAATATTTCTGAAATTACAGCTGGATTCTTTGCTGTAAGGTGGTAGGTCATATGATTCAAATCGAAGTGCAAAGTTGACCTCGTCGTTTGTAGGGAACGTCATTATGAAACCACGCTCCTTTTCCTTGTTCTTCTTTTGCTTTTCTGTGTTTCTTTCCAGCCCAATCTTTCTTTCGTTAGGGTCACAAAGCTTTGTAAGGTTATCCGTCATTTCTCTAGTGCAAATCACGTACCATTTGTCCAAGTATTTCCCTTCGACAATGCCACTGTGCTGGTTGGTAACACCGAGGAGATCCTTAGAACAGATAGTGGTGTTGCATCGGTTAGGATGCTCAGTCCAGTCCCAGTATGGAACAGCCAAATTGTCATCCTTCGCAATTTCCTACATAAAACGCAAACTAATTATAAGTAATAGCATGGCTCTGAGGGAGATTAGGGATTAAATGTCCCCGAAGCCGAGGGCAGATAAGTTGAAATCCCGACGGCCGCAGGCCGGAGGGACTTTTACTTATCTGCCTGAGGCTGAGGGACATTTAATCCCTAATCTCCCGAGGAAGCCATGCAATTACTTTGTAATACCATGATTTCCGAGGAAAAAATTGAAGTTGAACTTGAGCGAATTTGAATTCTTGTTCTTTTGTATGCTCCAATGTTTTCAATCAGAAGTAATATAAACATTGCAACAAACAATTCATGCATGAATTGGAATATGACATGAAAAGAAAGGATACGCACTGTTCTAAGAGTATCACTCGCCGAACAACAGTACAAAATGATATTGATAATCCGACCATTGTTATTGATTTCCCACAACGAACTTTGTTTGAAATTGCTTTTCAGTTCTATTCAATGCTGAAGTTAACGAACCTTAACTTCAACCGCGAAAAGTTGTTTTTATATTTGCAAGTATAATGCCAAGAAGCTTATCAACTATTATCAAACATTGAAATTCGTCAAGTGCACATGCTCAGCGGTACGAAGTAGATACTCGGAACCAGAGCTACTCGGTCAATTTGTCCCAAAAATCATCCCACATTTCAGTGTGAATGAGACGATAACCAGACCGTTYATTGCAGARGTAAAAAGAAGACAGCTGTAGGGACATTCAGTTGTCCCTGCTGGGAAGCAAAGGTTTCCTTTGCCTTCCGTTCCTCATGAATAACATGAGGGACGATTAGTCTAATCGTCCCTCATGTTATTATGCATGAGGGACGATTACTGGTAATCGTCCCTCATGTTATTATGCATGAGGGACGATTACTAGTAATCGTCCCTCATGCTATTCATGAGTGAGGGATGTTCGCTTGTAAACATCCCTCGGAAGACAAAAGAATCCGAGGTGATCATGGTATTACGTTGTATAACCTTTCGCCAGTCAAGAAATTTATACATAAAAATTATCGAAACATTAACCCCAAAAATGAGTAAGTGCTCTTAGCCTTTGACGTACGTAAGAAAAGTTGAAAATACGAATTTTGTACACAATATTTGATAATTGCCCGGGGGTGGGACTCCCTAATATCAAAGAGTGGGGGTCCTCGGCGGAAATTATGAAAATGATCCCCTAAGATGGACCTGTATTTGGAGATGATGGGCGTGGCAGTGCTGAAATTTCACCCCTAAAAGGGACCAATCAATAACAGGTCATTTTGTTTTAGTTGAATGCAGCACCTACCTTTCATAGGAAATATGACGGCTTAGGGACGTCATACATATACCCTAAAAGGGACCACAAAACTCAGTTGGGGGAAATTCTCGTCATTATGACCCTAAGCGGGACCAAAATACCGATTTCAAACCCTAAAAGGGACGCCGAGGACCCCCGCCCTTTGATATTTGGGAGTCCCCCCCCCCGGGGATAATTGGTGCGATGTCAAAAAACTTTTGCGTGGCTGTGCTCTCTTTGCTAATTCGGCCTTTTATGTCTCTTTATTAGAGATGTTGCGCATAAGGACACTTCGTATGCAAATGAGACACGATTTGTATACAGTGCCAGTGCGACTTGAGATAAATGAGATAGGAAGAAGAACACATTGTATTTTTTTAATATACAACTTTACTTTAAGCTTTATTCGAACGAGAACAACTGGCAGATGTGATGACATCAATGTTAATGAAACTTTAATTTGATCTTCAAATAATGGCAACATGTCTTTTGGCTAGTAAAGTGCAAAGTTTTACTATCATAGGTTGATACCAATGTGGATGGCGCCAAATGCTGCTCTTTTTGGTTGAATTTTTGAAGCTAGCATCATCACCTGGATTTTCGAAATCATCGTCGCACACCACACTGTCAATATTTTCCGAACGCTCTACGATATCCTCATCATCTTGGCTAGAATCGTTGACAAACTTTTTCTGTGCCCTTTCCTCTGGCGTCATTTTCATTGCGTACCGCATCTTTGAATGTTGAATAGCGCTCATCATAGAGGAGGCTTGTGCAGCCCTTTTGACAGGGATCATTCTCTTCATGATTCTTCTGGCTTATGATACGCTGCATGCTTTGGGGATGTGAAATAGTATTCGACAACATTTTCCTTTCTAGCGAGGTTGCTTACGTGAAGGTCGGCTATGTCAGGGTCTGAATGGGGGGTCTCAATGTCGGTAGTCAGTTAAAATTCTAGGCATTTGTAGATAGTCTGTTATTTAAAAAAAGTTGATAAGCATTTATAAGTTTTAATGTATCTAAAATGGTGCGCTATATCAAAAGAATGAAGACTAATTCTTATTCCTCCTTAAGTATATGACAACATTTTGTAGAACCACGCCGTAAATTCACTTGTGCAATACAAACCTTGCGACCTTGCGACTATCCACTTATTCCTTCATCATGAAAGTCTATGGGGCGCCAAATACTAGAAATTGCTGGAAAGCTTATGTTCTAAAACTGATTTGGAGCCTTTTTATAGGCCAGTCCAGTCAACGAACCAGGTTTTTTTGACGTTGTACAAACAGCTAATTACTATCAACGTCAAAATTTAAATCAGTGTTGAATGTAACAGAAAATAGTTTCACCTCACAACAAACAAGCATCCTTGTTCTGTTATGAAAACTATTTTTAAAAGCTAAGGAACTCTTTTGCTTTGTGTTACTCTAGATAAAGATTGTGTGTGTCAGCCCACTAAACCGTCTTTGTTTTACATAACATCATAGTTAAAATGAACTATGATAACAACGATTGGTTTGTAACAATGCCACGGACTTTAGAAAGAAGATCACTTGGAATTATTTTCTCATTTTCTTGCTGCTGTTTGTTACATGGCAACTCCACCTCACAATGCGGCTGCAGTGCTTCAAAGACTTTAAATAATGCACCGACTAGATCCAACTTCCTTTGCGGATATAGCTTTGAAGTCAGGGATTTCTTTACTATATGATTGAAGGTCAAAGGTATCTACTTTGGCATGAACAGCGGTGAATTACCAGAAACGCTAATTCAGATTGCAAATGATATATCGCGCACATGATTTGTTAAGATTCAACAGAAGGGGTATTTGAATAAGACAAAGATGTAGGAGACCCAAGCTAAACGCTATTAATCCAGTTTTTTTAACCATAATGTGGATAAGGAAATACAATTTCTTAAATACCTTAGATTTGATGTTCAACGTAAGTCCTGTATGCCAGTGTTCATCGCTTGATTCCAGTATTGTGGAGATATTTGTATGAATGAAGTTACTTGGCCGACCATGAGAGAATGCTAGTCCAGTCCTGGCCTCTCGTTTCCGACGCTCGCGGAATCCCCAGCGATTCCGCGAGCGTCGGAAACGAGAGGCCAGGACTGGACTAGAGAGAATGCATGAAATTCACTTTTGGTAATTGGCATTCATTTCCAAATGCAGTAGGTCAATTGACGGGTCACCGCATGTAATTTATCACCCTTAGGCAGAACCACAAGGTGAATTCCATAGTGGCCATCGACATTATCATGAACACTCAGCTAATCGTAGATAATGGCCTAGGAAATACTATGGATATTTCTGCAAGCAGGCTTTCCAGGAGCCATATACTTACGCCTTTCCAAGCAATACAAATAAGACGGATGGGTGAGGCTTAATAAAAGAAGGGCACGCGAAAGATTCAAAAGAAAGTATTCTAGGTGCAGAGTTATTGCTGAAAATACAATTAAATATGTAAAGACCTATAAAGCAGTTACTAGCAGCATTTGGCGCCAACCACGTTGGTTTCAACCTATGATAGAAGAACTTTGCACTTTCCTAGTCCAAAGACATGTTCTATTATTCGAAGAAATATAAAATTAAAGCTTCAATATCATTCATGTCCTCACATCTGCCAGTTGTTCTCGTTCATAAACTTGTATTAAAAAAATTGCACCTCTTGCTCTTTCATTTAATTAAAGGCGCTGAATCAGCGCATGTGCCTACTACGATTGTATGCAAATATTTAGCCTCACACAGCCTTTATTTTGGTACTGTACTGTTGATGAGCCGAGATGACAACAACAACAACAACAAAAAGAAAGTGCAGAATATCGTTAGGACCGTTAGGTATTTTTATTAATAACAATACAAGGCACTTTTTATTGGATACAAAGTAATAAAGTGCGAACAATATCTCCATGAAATAAAATCTAAATAATAGTTTAAGTCACCATTTTGGACAATGGAAGTTGTAACTAGGCATTGTTTGATCTTGTTAGTCGGACTAGCCGAAGGCGGGTCCGACTTTAAAATTACCTTTTAGCCAATCTATCTATGTATCATGTCGCGTTTGGACCACCGGAAGTTAAGAATTTAATAATTAACTATTGAGTTGGCTGTGTTATTACATGACCGGAAGCTCAAGCGTATTGATGTACGAATATCGTTAGTAAATGTTATATGCTACTTGGCTTTTATATGAGAAAAAAACTATTCGTTTACAAATGTGGTATCTGTGATCTCACCGGAATGCGTCTGTCTAGGCATTAGAAGTACGCGCATGTGCAGATCGCATAGAGTTTCGAGTTGTATGCTTACAAAACTGAATCAATATCCTTTCTAGTGTCAGACAGTCTTGTGGGGGCAAAGATTTCAAATTAGAACAAGAAGAAACTTTGTTTGTTTATCAATAACAGAAAGGCGAATTTAATGATTTTATAGGCATCTTTTTCCTTGTAAAGTTTTTATTTTCTTTGCCTGAGAGGTCAAGGTTTTAGTTATCATATATCACTTAGCGAGACATTTGTCTGAGTAGTTGATTTTATCAGTCAAAGCAAGCCACGTTCTTATCGCGTTAATTACATGACCTTTTAGGTCAAGTTTATTTAAAGTCTCAATAAATTTTGCATATTTTGAACTAGACGCTCTTATTAGACTGTGAGTTCGGCTGTTTTGGAAAAAAAGTTAAGAAATATTTTTATCCATGTAATATCCTGTCTTTCTCAATTTTCACAAGCAGCTAGTCCGACTTCACGCTCCCAGAGCGTCTAGTTTCTTTAATAGAATACATTCATTATTGTTTTGTTTGTGTTTTGTTTGTTCATGCGTGAAGTTTCAGAACCAGTGTTAGGTTGAGCTTTATCTGACTGTTAGGAGCAATTTCTTCTGAAAAAAAGACCTAAAACTTTTAGAATACTAATAGAACTTTTCTCATTACACCGAATATTGGGATATGAAAGCTTTAACAAAGAAGAACTAAGGCAAAATATACTCATAAAAGCAAACGTACCTCGCAAACTTTTAAGGCAGTGAATTACCACGAGAAATTTTCACGAACTTGTTCGTAAAACCGCAGAGATTGCAGAGATGATTGAATTTTCGGCGGTCATTCGCACTAAGTTATATGTTCTGCCGAGGGCTTCCTGTGTTTATGGGTCTTCCGAAGGGGTATTGATTGAATTTTGACGTCATTCTATTGTTACTTACTCATTTGCATTAGACACGATAACAAAGTGTCTATTACTTCGTAGTAGGCACAAAAAAGAAGGCGCATTATATATACAAATAGTGGCTCATTTGCATACGAAGTGTCCTTATGCGAAACATCTCTATCGTGGACAATTTTGTAGTGTGCAATCCATGCATGTATACCTCCATAAAATAATAACTCCTAGATCTGCCAAATGTTAATCCAGTACATGCACTCACCTGTAATGATCGCTCCCATAAAAGCATATACAGTCGATGCCAAGTAGGGAATCCTTGCCCGTCATGTGCAAAGTCGATGTCAGACCTCGTTTTATCCGGGTATATAGTATCGCGTGCCGAGTAGTAATGCATCCATGTGAATAGATCATAGTTGCTGACATTATGAAACATCTCACTCGGGTCTTCACCCGCTTGCACTACTTCGCTGATTTCTTCGTAAAATTTGGTGGTGACGACATAGTCACTTAAAAAATATTTGGACTCGTTAATGTATCGCATATAACGATCTTTCTCTTCAGGGGACAGCTTAAGGAAGTTTCTCCGTTTTAAAGTTTTCTTTTTTGTACAGTTGGTTCCACTGAAGCCAAACTCACACTTACTACAGTCGTAACCACCAAAGTTGCCGTTGCATTTGCACGTTTTCTCATACATCGCGCGTGGCCAGTTATGGCGTTCGTCGTCGTTTTGAAAGGGTTGGAAATGACTGTAGGTGTAATTCCAATCTCGTAAAATCAATTCCTCGCACTTTCCTCTTTTTCCATCGCTGCCACATGGCTCAGCAAAATTCTTCGGGATTGGACAGCATGTCTTGGTTTTTAAGCTTTCAAGGTTTGTACAAATTCTAGGAAACTGACCTTCACTCTGCTGAACTACAGCACATATGAATAGAAACCAAACTACGTTCAAGGTGTTCATGGCCTATTGCTAAAACTTCAAATTGAGCTCTTCAGTTGAAGATTAGAAGAAATTCAGTTAACTTGCATTCATGGTTTATGAACAGGAAACCGTTGCATACCGAGAAGTCAACAGACGCTTCCAAAACTATATATAGCAATGCTAAATGGCGTGGGGTGCAATATCAATTGAAGACTCAAAAGCGACTCTGCCTATGCCTTTTCCCTCGCGTAATAAAGTGTCGCTAATTTTCAGAAGCTGTTAGTTAGTATTTCAGCTAAAATGGCATAGATTCAACCGAGTTTTCCCTGATTTAACTGTAAGACCCGATATCTTGCTATATTCACGCCCAATATTAATATCATGTACACATGTCGACGTCGGCAGATTACAATGAGTTCAAAGGTTTCATTGTTCTGGCTATTTCTGTTTTCGCTTTTGATATGGGAAGAACAAAAGACAAGCAAATAGTGCACCTGGCATCAAGGGCGGATCTAGCTGAAAATTTAAGGGAGGGCTAAATGGCTTTAAGAGAGGCGAAATGGGCTTTATTTGTTACAAACAACACGACTGAAAATAATAAATAAACAGTTTACCTTTTATGCGCAAAGGAGGGGCTACAGCCCCCCTTTGCCACTCCCTGGATCCGGCCTTGGATATATTTTATTATAAAAGCAAACTACTCCCAGATAGAGCTATAGATACAGAAAAAACGCCTAAGTACGTATCAAAACTAGGATTTTTCCTATGCCAGTCCCCTGAATAAGATCTTGTATAAACGTCCTCTCTATTTGTGCAGTATTCATGGGTGTGGCTGTTGATATCAAATTCGATTCCGAGTTGTATATGCAGCTAGGGTGTAAACATAAGTCATATATAATAGTAAGAATAGTATTCTGCAATATTTATAAGACATCTGCCATCTTGATACTTTTAAAATACCGTGATGCACTTTGCTGAAACACACTGATAGTGAAGTTATTAGAGGATAAGACCATGGCAACTCTCCGTTGAACTATCGTTGTTAGTAAAAATGGTTTCAAAGCGTTTTCATGTAGCTACGTAAAAAACTGCTACTGCCGAGTGAATACAAGTGCACTAATAAAATGATAAATTTCAAGGAACACTGACGGAACATTGACACTTTTATATTTTCTCGCTAGCTCGGGCGGTATGTTTGTTGCTCTTTTAGTTTGTTTTTATAAAATAGATTCTTGTAACATGTTATAATCTCTTTTTTTCCACAAATAAAGGCCGGAACCTTGACGTCATGTCTACGAAATTAATACTCAGTCTTGTTTTTTCCTTCCGGTACCTCCCGGTACGGTGGATCTTTTGACTTAGCGTCCAGGCTCCCGAGAGAGCTTGGGCTTGGAGAGCTTATAGCTACACGTGGACCAAGCTTATTACTTGGTATAAGACAATGTTTGTGAGTCTATGTAAACAGTCGACACTACCCGCAGGCCTTTTGGGGTCCCTGTGCTATACATACTGAAGGCGAAAGTCGACTTCGTGGGCTAGCGATAGACACTTCGAGCGCCTACAGTAAACATTACATAATCAGCGGTTATTATCAAATGATGCGCCGTAAACCATGTAAACTGCATGGTCTTTCTATTGCTTTTCGATCTCTTGCAAACGTAAGTTCGACAAATATTTAGCATGTTATATGCGACTTTATTTATTCGAGGAAGTATATTCATCAAGGTGATAATCGTTTTAGCGACATTTCTAGAGGAAGACAATGTGCAATGTGCTTTTATGAGTCTTTCAGCTTTGTTATCTGCACATTATGATGATATTTCGACACGTGGACGACAGATACGATGGATTGTGTTTTGGCCGAAGGAGATCTTTTTAACAGCATTCGAAAAGCGCTCTATACCTGATGAAGAGACTATTTCTCTGAATTACTCTGCCAGGTCGAGTCCTTTGGTCTCCGGTGACATAACTTCCATCGCACATTTAGGCAAACCAGCGAAACCAATCGCCCGACGAGGCAAACAAACCAAATCAAATCAATCGCCAAACGATCGGCAAACAAATCAAAACAATCGCCCGAAAATAAATTAAAAATTAAAAAAACATATAAATATACGCTCTCATCTTCTTTCTTTTTGCCAAGTATTCTCCCTCCATAAAATCAAATAAACGTAAAACCAATTTGAACAAGCATCACAGAATTTACATATCGCAACACTTCACTTTCGATAGGAACCGCTAGTTTTTAGAACTTTTATGATTTTTTTTCTCTCTTACTGTGACAGGATATATTTGCTATACGGGGACGTGCCGCTGGCCAGGGTATGGTTTTTGGCCTTGCTGTCTTAAACAGGGTATACATTTCACCCGAAATTGTCTTATAGAACAGGCTCTACAATTTAGATAAAAGAGACCGATATAATTTTTTTGTGTGTCGTGGACAGGGTAATATTTTCATAACACCGCGTAGAAATAGTAGAAATACCGTTTCACTGTACTAAAAATTAACGTGTTATCAAAAACTTCTTMTTGTCTTTGATGGATGTCAGTATAATTGCAGTTTTGATGGTTGGGGCGTAGATAGCTATTTCTTATTTTTCCGATTTGTCTTGAACAGGGTATGGATTTTTACTTTTTAGTGTCTTAAACAGGGTCCCCCCCCCCGGGGGACCAGATCCTGGACGGTAATGCAAGAGTCCACCGTACGGCCGTACGGGGAGGTCATGTCTATGATATTTAGCAATCCTCAATGTCAGCGGCTATCTACCACAGGAAGCCCAAACTAACGAAGTATTGAACGCCTGGCAGTGTTTGCAGTCGACAACGCAAAGGTAGTTGAGTTCGCTGAGATTTTAGTTAGTTTTCTTCATGCTTTCGCGAATKTTCGAAAYTCCTGGCTCGATAGTACAAAAAGAAAGCCATGGAAATATTTTAGAGAGCTTTTTTAAGCGCAACTCTGAGGGAAATTCGCAAAACAAGGTGCTGATAAACGGYTGTAATGGTWGTGGAAAAACTTCTCTTCTCTTTTCACTCGCCGTCTCTTTCGCAGAAGAAGAAAAGAATGTCTTGTTTATGTCTCCTCGTAAGTTTGATAAGCTGCCTGCGTTTCCAGAACGAAGACCAAGGCCTCTTACAARTGTTTTGCAAAGAATAAAAATGGTTTATTTAGAGAATGCCAAAGAAATCCTGAAATACTTGGCCTCGCTGCATATTGAACAAACAGCAAGTTCAGTYGATTGTATGATTATCGATGATTTAGATTATTACACCAAAGATGGTCAAAAGAATGAAGATCTAAGTATGTTGGCAAGGATTCTAGCATATGCAGTTGATGCATACAAATTCCTGTGAGTATATTATCAATATTTTTATTTTATTAGAATTCATGCGATCTTAATTTAGCCATCAATAGCTTTTTACTTAAATACAAAAAACATTGCCCAAGGAAAATAACTTTAGAAATGGAACTGACTCTTTAGTTGAATACTCCAGTTTCGAGATCTTATTTGTGCAGTCTTAACCTCGAAATCATGCAGAGATCCCTCTATTGTAATGCAAACACTCTGTGTACAWAAAGACATTAAAAATTTATGCTTGATTGAAGCTAAGCTTGCRCAAAAGATAATTTGAAACTGGAGYATTGAATTGAATTATGGATTATGTTGACTTTTTTAACAGAACAAATCCTTCAAATGTCAATGAATTCTGAATGGGAACTGCTCAAATGCAAGTTCTTGTAATTTCTCCCATGTGAATAAACCCCGGGGTACTCCCCCCAAACTTGGGTGGGGGTGTGCCGCTGGGACATCAAAACCCTGATCCTGTTCCAGAGTGAAATCGCTGAAAACTATACCCTGTTCCAGAGTAAAATCGCTGAAAACTATACCCTGTTCCAGAGTAAAATCGCTGAAAACTATACCCTGTTCCAGAGTAAAATCGCTGAAAACGATACACTGTTCCAGAGTAAAATCCAGCACTAGTCTGCGTGTAGACCGAATTTTAAGCCTGTGGATTTTTATCCAGCATCAATAATTCCGGAATTAAACCCTGACCCTGTTCCAGAGAAAATTYGTTGAAATCGATACCCTGTTCCAGAGTAAAATCGCTAAAAACGATACCCTGGTTGGCGGCCCCCCAGGAATAAACCTCCAAATAACAGGCCAGCTAGCGGATTACAATCGCACTATACTCTGAGACCGCGATCTTCAGTATGCTGATCTTGTGTTAAAATTTACAAAACAGTTCATAAATATAAGTAAAACAAATATCTACAATAAAAAATTACCATGACTAGAAAAACTATGTTCCAGTTAAAAAAAGGACCCATAATAAAAAAAGAAAAAGAAAGAAATAATTTTTCAGACTAAAATAAATAAAAAATAATAAAAAGTAAAAAATAAAAAAAATAAAAAGATAATAATTCATAAAATATGCCGGAGGTTGTAGCTTTTTGGCATTATTCAGTCTTAATGTCATAAAAAAACGCCCTCTTATATACTTCCTCTAAAGACTAGTAAAACACCAAGATGGGGTGATATTTCTACTGCAGTTAGTAKTTATTCCACTAAATATGGTACTCAAGACGATCGAATTATTTACYTACAATGCTACTCTTAATAAAACTGACAAATGCTGTACATGTATCTCACTATATATGCGATTGTAGCTTCCAAAAAAGATTTTAGAAATCTTTCAGTAAGTTTAGAATATTTAACTAACAACTGACTMAATAACACATATTAAAACCTTGTATGAGAAAATCCACAGGCCAGAATTCTGCTGGCCGACTCAAAAGATAATACTAGGGTAAAGTAAAATTCGTTATTTCCCTTTTTTTGGTCAAAATACTTGAGATTTTAGATCCGTCTCTTGTTAAAAATGATGTACCTCCGTGATTATTAGATCCATAAGGTAGTCATAGACTGCCCTGTTCAAAATTCGAATTACAAGTATTATTTTTAACCGAGTCCCCTTTAAAGTGTGTTTAAAATGATGCTGAATAGGCAAACCAAATTCCAAGACACGAGAAGAACGTCARTATTGTCACAAAATAATAATTATAGCACATGACAATTTTTAATTAAACCAATTATAGTTAAATGGTGGATTGCTGGGATGTCTAGATATTGAAACTTTCTGTTGCAGAAGTCGATACCCATGTAATAGAGCATATGCTACGTATCTTGTTTTTCACACCATTACGGATTGTCGACAAACGGAGTGACATGATGATAGGGTTGACAAGAGATTGCAGATTGCAAAACAGCATGGCGGTTCCTTGGGAAATGTATTTGAAGTCGGCAGTGACATCTTTCCCTTTAAAGGTTTCAATGAGGATTGTAATGATCAGGGGAATGTATAGGACAACGAKKATCAGCACAAGCATACCCATTGTGAAAGCATTCTTAAGCTCTTTGAGTTTCAATTTTCGTTCTTCATTTCGTTTCTGTTGTTCTTGGTCTTCTTGCAGTACTGGGCTTATATGTCCTTGGCGGTCTTCTTGAAGTACCGTGTGTCCTTGGCGGTCTTCTTGCAGTTCTGTCCTTGCTTCTACTTGGTCTTCTTTCTCAGCTGAACGAACTGCCGCTGTCCTTTCTTGGTCTTCTCGCTGTATTGATCTTGCTTTTTCTTGCTTTTCCTTTTGTTGGATTGTCACTGGTCGTATTTGGTNGCTAGTATTTTGCTCACCACTAGAGAAGTTGGCAAACATAACCARACAATAGAGATTGCGATAATCACATGTTTATAAGTCAGTTTTTTCCTGTAAAATTCACTGTGTTCTATAGCGATATACCTCTCAACACTAGCCAACATCAAAGTGCTCATCGTCAGACATGCACATAGTGTAACAGGAATACTAACAATAGTATATAAGCACKGTACCTGGCAATGTCCGAGAAGGCATATCATGCGCCAGAGAAACAGAGGTTCTACCAGGAGGCCAACTAGGAGATCTGTAAAGGCCAGAGCAGCGAGAGTAATGTAATAGGGTTTGGTTCGAAGACTTTCTTTACCCAAAATCGTCCAGATAATCAGAAAGTTAAGTATGACTGTCGATGGAGAGGCRAYGCCATGCATAACTGCGAGGAAAATTCGCGTGGGTCGAACTGAATCTGGTAAGCTACTGGTGTTGTATTGATCTTCAAATTCTGTTGCTAACAGGCACGCAGAAGTATGACTATTGCTAGAGTTGGTTGACATGATTTAGAGATAGAATAAGATATGTTTTCTTGAAGATTTCTTTRCTTCGCGAGCACAATGAAAAGCGGACTGAATTATTCCGTGAGGAGAAGCTGCTTTTCACATATACCGACCAACAAAACGCACGCAAAATATAATTATAAGAATTGTTCCTTGAAAGTTTAATTATTCAAATCTTCTACTCACTTCCTGTACTTTTCACAAGTACAAAAACCTTGTAAATGAAAAGATCCCCTTCTCCACCATTTGTTTTGGGAAATTTCCATATTTCGAATTGCAATATCTCGTTCAGGACTGATTTATTGAGCACAAAATGTTTTAGACGCTTTTCACGTGAAATTTTGACACAAAATCTAAAAGCAAAGAGACTTCCAACATAAAGAATTACTGATTCTTTAAGAAATTACAAATTACACAAATTTGTTATGCAGATAATGTCTCATAATAGCCCAAAATTGAATGCCTTCTTTCTTGAGAAGAAAAACAAAGAAATTGTTTTCTTTTCATTCATTTGCCTTTAAAAATTCTAGATTTATGATGATATAATAGACTTCTGAATCTTTTACGCCATTACTTGATTTTTAATTCATTGTGGTATTAGTTTCTAAAGAAAACAAAAACCAAATCCGACAAACATGACCTACATTCAATGCATTTCGTATACGGTACATGACGTAAAAGCTTCAGCGTTCCATTCGAATAGAAACTATTTTGATGTAATACAACAAAAAGGAGGCAGTTTTGCCTAATTCTGTGCCTGTGGGCGATTTTTCTTCCAAACGTCCTGYACTCTTAAAAAGTACAAAATCTTTAAAAATGAAATTAATCCCTTCAATTTGTGACTATTATTTGCTTTGAATTAGATTTTTTATGTTATTTGACCAGACTTCACGATTGAGTAATTGTCACTTCAAAAAATAAATATAGGTATTTCACTGATATTATCATCTGATAAATATTATTAGATATCGCATTTTGTTTACTGTCTGTTTCTGTGCAGACAAATGTGACAAAGTTTTTTTTTACCTGTCTGATGTAAATTAGTTCAGCAAGAATGGGGCATAATGGCTAATTGACTGGTTTTACCTTAAGCTTTCTCATCTGCCGTAGATTCTGGCTTTAATCCTATGGAACATTTCATGGATGATGACGCACCAATCAAGCACTTTGTTGAAAACCATTACCACCAATGAAATGACAAGAGTATAGTTAGAARACTCACGAAATTTTGCATGGCGACAACCTCACTACCTTGAAATAAATTTTGTGAGTGTGCTTGTTGAACTTTATCTTCTCGGATTTTCACTAAATAATTCTTCTAAATACACTAATAAACTTGTAGCCCTCAATATAAAACTACAACTATACTTATAAACAAAAAAATATAAGATGCCGTAATGATTACTATCAAACACAATAATTAATAATCAAGAATTAAAAATATTAAAAATTACATATGGAATTGAAAATATTGACAAATTCCATCAATATAAAATAGATCTATACCATAAACTAGAAAGCAAATTAAGAGCAAGAAATATAATAAGATAATCATGTAATATAAGTGTGGCAAACACTAGTGTTCTTCGCGAAATTTGCGGCGAAGAGCGCGTTTAAATGATTGAACTGTCACTTGTTTTTTAACATCTGCTTCTCTTTAATTGTTCCATTTTTCTATGGCGCTAACTAAAAATGTTTTTGCTCCTTTCGTCTTCCGATATAGCGTGGCCGTGTAATAAAATTTGAAAATTCAGTTAATCATATTGTAGAAAAAATTGGTACAATGGCCAGTGACGCTCAGGGGGATTTATCCCGTCAAACTCCGTTCATGAATAATAAGAAATGGATCAGAAAAACTAGTCGATCTTCACAAAACGAAACTCTTAAAATTTTGGAACAATTGTTTTTATCAATTCAAAGAAGAAGTTTATTAAATTATCATGTTCGATATTTCTGAGTCGGAATTCTGGAAACCCTCGATCCTCCAATTCCAAGAACGACACTATATCCTTTATTTCTGAATAAGCGGCAAAACCTTTTTCTATTTTGATGACTACATCCATCTATATTCAAAAATGTCCAGTTTTAAAAAGTGATTTACAGAAAGMAAAATATTAAAGTAAGCTTTACGTAATCAAGAGCTTAATCTTTACATTTATCGAGTCAGAAAAGAAATCCTCTATTACTTAAGYAATGGTCCGAGTAAGAAGMAGGCAAGAAAACGACAATGGAATGCAAGAAGGTGCTAATTGTGTATTGTATAATTCATCCATCTCATTGGTTWAAACATTAAAATCTGACATAATTTCTCAAGTAATTTTATTTAATATCTGATTTCGACTTCATAAAAGCTTTCCTTAGCTTTAATATTAATAGCAATTCTATGTGGGGAACATAGCAAATTAGAAGCATTTTTTGACTATTGTTTTGAGTGCTTATGATTGGACAAGATCTTTTAATACAAAAGAAACTTTTTTTTCAAAACAGAGTTTATCCACATTTTATTTTAAAAATGTGTTACCCATAAGTTGATATATAATCAGTGTGAAAACCAAGACATTCGTATGTGGGGAAGTTGCAATTGCCGCAGAACAATAGAGAGTTGCCTGCYTCTTAAGCGCATTGTTACTTAAAAAGCAAAGTAATATTGACTCCGCAAGAGGGTGAACGATGAATCTCTTATCCGGCAAAATCAGTCATTATTTCTTTCTTTGGAATAGACTYGCGGATATGTTTCTATTCCACTTTATGTTAATTCATATCAAATATAATCAAAATATAATTAATATCATTTCCAGCCAGACTTTTCGATATTTCGTTGGGAAACTGAGAGTGACATCTGGGTACGAGAATGGCTGCTTACAATTTAGTTATTCGAGTTAGCATATAATTACTCATATGATTGTGTTTGTGTAAAATAATCTCCTTCGCAACAAGTGCGAGAACATTGGGAAAGAGGAAATGACCAGTGGTCTGGGTACTAATAGAGATTGGAACACAGGTGGGATTAATATTTTGGGGCTGTTGACCGATGCTGAATAGCCTTGAGTCAAAAACCAAAGACTCTTCTCGAAACTTGTTTTCTAACCTCGAAAATGGCTGTTGGTCTATGAGATGAGAGCAGAAATCTATAAGGGATTTGAAACGTGTAATGCCGTGCCAAACGTTGGAATATTCAAATCTAATTTGCATCTCATTTCCTTATTTGGAACAATTAAATTTACCCTATAGCCAACCAGAACGGGCCTTAAATCTCTTATCCAACGGSCAAATATGGTCATAACGTTTGTTTTGGTGAGCTTTGAATATTCCGACGCTTGGTATACGGGCGTTACACGTTTCAAGTCCCTTATAGGTTTCTGACGTGAGTCAATAAGCTATGATAATATCAAACACTAATACTGCTGTGTTTTTCAGGCAGAGAAACAGTTCAAGTTGTAGTGTACTAGCAATATCCACTGTCTACACCAAACCAAACCTGTACGAGAGATGGATGGATCACGTATTTAAAATCAACGTACAAAAAGGCAATAAGAGAAATGAGAAAGAGCTAAAGTTATCAGTCTTAAAGCCTTGKGGTGAATCACTGATAGATGTTTATTATACGTTAACGAGTACTTGTTATACTGTGACGCAAGTTATTGCTTGAAATACTGGAAAGATACAGTCGTTTTTTATGTCATRTATGTATTTTTTTGGTGCGTTGTAGCCAACGTGAATACGCCAGTTTCGGATTCATAGCGAAAAACCGCTGCTTTCATTTGACGACAGATTCTCTTGCGCTAAGAGCTGACCAAACACAAAGAGAGTAACATAGCACACTTTCTCCACACTGTCATACAGTGTGCACTACTGATACCAAACAAAGGCGYTCTCTGATAACATTGCCTTTCAAAATTTAAATCATTCAGTTAGAAGGGCTACCAGCAGGCGTCGGGCTTTAGTTTTACCCTATTTTGCCAAGCTATCTATGTATTTATCGCGTTTGAGAATGACACAGGAAGCCCAAGGGGAAAAGGTGATTGCTATAGCTTCTGAACCTTTTACGTCACTACTTGATTTTCAATGCATTGTGGGATCAGTTTCTAGAGCAAACAAAAGAAATCCGCCATGTTCTGTCCCACACATATCCTACAATGCATTGCGT